TCTGTCACACTTTTTTTTTGTTGTTCTCAAATTTTTAATTTTTTTTTTTTGTTGGCTGATTTTTGGAATCTACTGCACCCGTTGATTTACAAAACATCCAAAATAATTTCAAAATATTAAAGCTTTCTTTTTTTTTTTCCAATTCCATCATCCACCTTTCAGCGATAATGACAATAATAATAATTACAAAAGAAATAATAATAAAAAACCCAAGTAAGGCCAGATTCTCTCTCTTTATATATAAATATATATATAAACAATGGGAAGGGGAAAGGGGAGCACACAGAAGACACCAATGATGCATCTGAAACAACAAATGAGAGTGAAGCAGACATTTATAAAAAAGATGAAAAGGAAAATATTTTGAACATGCACCTCGATTTTACGGCCCTCTACCACGGTGCCGTGTAATTTCTCCCTCGCCCTGTCCGCATCAGCACTATTTTCGAAAGTTACGAAACCAAATCCCTGCATGCAGGAGGGAGAAGGGGGGAAAACAACATGCACATTATTATTTCAGTCAATGACCACTTGTTTGCTTATGTTCTCTCTCTTTAATTTAATATTTTCTTGTCCTCGCTTCATTTCTGTAACATGCAAATTAGAAAAATTATAATCGTATTGAGATGTGCAATAAATAAGCGACAAATGTGAACAAATTTTTTTTTCTCTGTCATCAGTTACATAATACCCTCTGAGAAAGTCAAAGAATGATACCAAAAATACCTTTCTACATGTCACTACAGAGGAAAATAAATCTAACAATAAGAAAATGAAATTAAAGTAAATTACAGTGTTTTCACATAGAAAAAAATGAACTAATGAGAAAAGAAAATGAACCACATTTTAATGACATGCAGATATCTCAACGAAATAAAAAACATGTGCACAAAATTCAACACTGAATGTCAATATACTCTAAACATTGCCTACTTAATCATGCTGTTGTGATCATAAGAAACACTGTTCCCATGCAACACTAGGGTAACTTAAACTTTTGTCAAACTATACAGCCTTTACTTATTTTTTTATAAAAAAGGAAAAAAGAAAAAAAAAAAAAGGAAAACCACCAAGAAAACARAAGTACTTTTAGAACAAAGTATAAACTTTCTTGTATTAACAGATCAAAGAAAATCACATGATGTGAATAGAAAAAGAAACTCTGATAAAAGAAGAAAAATGCAAACTTTTCAAATAAGTTTAACTGCTTCATTTACTTGTTCTGCATATTATTTTCCACATAGAGAACATGCAACTGGTAAAACTCCAGAATCCCCCATTAGCGGGACAAATCTGAAATTCTGTTTATGACAAATGCTCTCCTTTATAACACTAGGCTAAAACAAACATTGCAAATCCTACTAAAATTCCTTTTGTGCTCTAAGTTAGATTAAACACCGTTTAAAATGGCAAATATTCGGAAAAAATCTGACAGCAAAGAACATTTTAGAGACATACACCAACCCTTTGAAGTAATTCTTGCATTAGCACTACGWTGCCTTTGCATGCCTCCCAAAGTTATCCCAACAAATTCCTCCACATCCCCCAGGTTCCACACACATTTGCAAGCTGCACGTGGTGCTTTGTACACAGGCAGTGCTCGGTTGTTTAAATGACACTAAAATTGGGTTTTTTTCTTCTGTTTGAGCCTGAAATCTGTCCTGCTCCTGAGCAATCAGCCACGCACCACAGCTCCCCATCTCCCTTCGCTGAGTTTTGTTGGTGTTCACCCATTTACTCTCTGCCTTTTATTCAAAGTGACTGGTTGAAAAAGAAAAGGGGGAAAAAAAAATTGAGGACATTTATACATTAATTTACACAAAGGGGAGACCAAATATCAAACTAAGGCAAAACTGACACCAAGCAGTGAAAAAAACAATGGGTATGAGCTACAAAACTGATTAATCGACCATCAACCAAAAAGTTTTAAGTAACGCAAGATAATTCCCTGGGTTATTTGGGTTATTTTACCTACTCAAAGAACTCATTTATTTATGCCCATTTAAAATGCAAAAAGTGGCATTTCTGTACAGCAGTGGTTTCTGTTTTGCTCTCTCCAAAGCAGCTCAAGCCACTCTTTTTTCCTTTCCCCTCRTAAATCCTGCCTGAAGCCCGAGCTCTGAACTGCCTGTCAGCGGCTCCTGCTCCATCTTCACAACACCTGATTCCTCACATTTTCTCCACAATTTCAGCTCGAGGCCATGACCTCGCTTGCCAMAAGACACTGAGGATGTAACTCTCTTCCCCCAAAGCACCAGGAGGGTTGGAGTAAAGTAAATCCCTCTCCTCAGCATTAATCTCCATGGTTCAGGTGCCTGCACAGGCTTTTCTTATTCATGAAACCATCGTCAACTTTAAACTTTTGGTTCTTCTACAGCTGCTTCTTTCCCAGCTTGTTACAACTCTGTGAAAAAATCTCCCAATTTAGGATGCCATTAAGAAAATTGCACAGCAGAAAACATCGCTGGATCCATGGATCTAAGCAGSCTAACTCCATCCAATAGCAGAAATTCCCCCAATCCTGTTTGCTTTTTCCTCTTTTGCCTGAGCAATTGTCCCTTCTAGGAATTGCAAACATTCRGTGGAGTTGTGTTTTAGTCAAAATTTTCTGTCATTCTCCTTAGCTCACAGCACTACCAGTTAATTTTTGTTCAAACACCTAAAGATAAAAAACCTAATTATACAAAAAAATTAGAAAAACATACAAAGTGGAGCCACAAGCCAAGATAAGACGGGAACTTCAAAGATTCTGAAATAATACTCATTGTAATTTTTCAATTTTGATGTGGTACTTACTCTCATAATCAACACTACTTAAATTAAGCTCTTACTATTTATGCAAAGCTTTAACTTTACCTGGCTGACAGAGAAACTCAAGAACAAAACACAAATTCACCCATCACACATTCAAATACCTACACAAACCCTTTACCATCAATTTAATATGCAGCTCAATTAACAGCTGTATTCTGTTAACTGGTAATGAAAATACAGGCATTTTATTTGTAAAATCTGTCAAGTGATTTMATAATAGTCAAGTTAGTATGGGAGAAGGTTCTGATTTAATTTGGGAGTCACTTTGAAGTCGTCCTGATTTGAAGAAATAGGTGTTAATACAATGTCCATTTTAATAGAAAGACATATAACCAGATTTCTGAATGCATATATGGAGCTGTCTAGAGAATTGATTTATAACTGATAGAAATTATCAAAAATTCAAAAGTCATCAGCGTTGCCATACGTTTTAGCAAAGCCTTCATTATAACTGCACATTCAAACAAGCAGAAATCTGTAGCAAGAAACTTGCATTATTTTAGGGTTTTCTTTCAGGGAAGGACCCCCTTCTGCAAAATAAATTTATGCTTTATGGTGGTGTTCTAATGTTGTGTTTTTTGAATATGCAATTCCATTTTTCTATGGCATGAGAACAAGATTATTTCTGTTGATTTTGCAAGAATCTTTTAAAACATTAACTGTTAGAACAAAAGGAAAGAAAAAGAAACAGAAACAAAAACATATTCTAGCAATTCTTATGCCAAACTGCAGCTAGAAACAAATTTGAATTCTGATCCTGCAAACTTTGTTACCTGTACTCAGTCTGAAACCACTTAGTAGTCCTTTCAGTTTCAGTGGGATTTTATGAAAACATAGATAAGCACTGCCAGGAATGGGACTTTAATCTGGTGCATCTTAATTCCTACAGAATGGACACGAAATGATCAGATTAAAAAAATAAAAAAGAAAAAAAGAAAAAAAGAAAGAACAGAAAAAAAAGATGTCCCTCTTACCCCTATTTTTTTGTTGTTGTTTTGCTTATCTTTCTATTTAATTGAGAAATTCTAAATGTACTTCTGCAAATCAAAATTGGATGTAGCTATAGCTGAAATTCCTGTGCCCATGGGGAGGAGCAGCAGATCTGAGCCCTGGGGTGCACCTCAGACCTGCTGGGATGCCCCACAGGAGCATTTATCAACAACAGATCCCCAACAAAATCTGTAACTGAGGCCCTGATGTCACAAACCCAACCAGAAAAACCTTTTCCTTCTGAAATCCTGTCACTTTTAGTACAAAGCATTGGGATGTTTTCACTGCTGCAAAGCCAACACTAAAAAAAAAAACAAAAAACTCAATTTGGAAACAGCTCCTCGTGCCAAGCCCTAAAAAAACTCAAACAAAACCTCACATTTATGCAGCCCAGAGCAGGTATGGTGGTTAAATTCCCCACCTGGGTAAGATTTGATGGCTAAAAAGTTTAAATTATGGTCACATGGGATCATCTCCACCCCATCAGCACAACCAGCAGAGGTGGCCACTGGGGCCCTAAATTTGGGATTTTATGGTCCTGTCCAGCAGCAGGTTCTGGACAATCTCTGCCTTTTGCAAACATTATTGAACAACCATAATTTAACAATAATAAATTTTGGCCAGAGTAGGAGATTTTAAGGCACCAAATTCCATCCATTTAAGTTGTTTACTGAAGAAGTGATAAATGTTCCAGCTGAGTTTGGGCTGGCAGGCAAGGGGACTAATTAATCTCTGAATAATAAACCAGGAAATTTCAGCTCTTCCATTTAGGTTAGAAAAAAAAAGAAAAAAAAGTGACGGCTTTAATTTCAGAAAATAAATATTAACAGAATTAAAATATATCTATTTCAAGATAGATTTTTGATGTGTATGATTCTTAAAATATGACAGATTACAGTATGTCTAGAAGAGGAATAACATTCCATTGCTAATAATAAATGATAAATGAGTTACAGGAAGATTGAAACATTAGTGAATAAACTTTTTATCATGTCTGATGTGGCAGGAAAARGAAAAAAGATGTGCATATGACAGACATAAACCCCAGTAATACAGCTGATGTCACAGGTGAACACACTGGGCCACAGTTCGACAGCAGCTGATGCTGACACAGAGCCATTCTATCTCACTTTCTTTCTTAAACACTGAATAAATTGAAGTATGCATTTAAGGCAAAGTAATTTTAGAAAAAAATTATWTGCAATACAATCAGAACACTTTTAATAAAACATATGCTAAAATAGATTGTTTTCAAAGGGTTGGTGTACTAAGGCTTTAACTAAAGAGGAAAACATCTGCACTTAATCTGCAACAATCCCATCTTTCCTGGACTAATTACTACAGAGGACAGTTATTAGGTATCATTACCATCTTTCATTTTAATAAAAGACAAAAAATACCTGTACTAATACAAGCCTGCCTACAAATATCTTTAACTATGGACTCATAAATGAAATAATTACCCTTGAAGAATAAGGACAGCGAAAATCAACATTCCCACATAACAGATGACAGTTTGAAGTAGTTAAAATTACCCCCTTTAAGAGATATGAGTCCAATGATTTTCATAGTGCTTAGAAAGCTGACTGACAGCTCAGAAGATGTTTGCACTAATGTAAAATCTCAGACATTATTTTATCACAGCAGTGCAGTTGTTTCCTTTCACTCGTGTAAGTATTTTAAACAAAACAGAAAAAAAATTCCACAGGTGAATTAAACTGCTTACCTTTGAGCCTCGCTCATTAAAAATAATTTCAACATCTAAGATTTTACCAAATTGCTGCAAAGAAACAGAAAAGTTACATGAAAATAAGATCACTTCAACACTTTTATCATATGCAGCACCATTGTTTGCTTCAGGAAATGGTGCAGTGCTTTAAAAAAGTTCAACAATATAAAATMAAAGATTGTTAAACACCAAAAGAGACATTAAAAGTAATCAGATCAATATCATGTCTAGGTTGTGTGCATCATAACACTTGTTACTGTCATCCCACACAGGAACTTGAAGCTCAGTGAAACCCCCTGACAGAGAGAAAATAGCATTAAACTGAGATCAGGGTGAAGAAAAAGTCCCAAATGTTTGGATTTTGCAGATCAGGTAAAGGAGTTTGGTTCCTTGTGCCTTACAGGAGCAACATGAAACCAGGTGGGAGTTTTGTTGCTGGCTTCAAGCACTGAGGATTTCTTTCCACCCTTGCTGAAAAGGGTAATGATTATTCCCTGGGAAGTTTTGTCTTACTGGAGCATAATCTGGAGAACTGGAATGGATACTCACTTTGGGGGGATTTGTTCTCTGCTCAGGATTGTGTTTTTATAATAATGTGAGAAGTAACTGCTGTTCCTACTGACCCTACAAKAGCATTAAATTCCTCTGATATTTTTGTACACACAGAAGCTGAACACAGCTGCTTTTCCCAGAGGAAAAGGCCCTCCTGGACTTGCCTTAGGAGGAGAATAAATGTTGGACTCGGGCAGTGCTGAGTTAGAAACCTTTCTGCTYGGACACATTTTGTGAGGCGACAATGAAACGCACATTTCTGTCATTTCACATGTCATTAGCATGCGGTATGGATTGGTGCTGCATGGGTAAGGGACACAATTTATTGAACAAAAAGGCAGAAATTGGAGGCAGGAAAATGGAGAATAATCCAACCAGAGTTCCAGGAACTGCAACAAGGAGCCTGTGCCCCAGTCTTTTAAGATTTAATAACCAAGGGCAGAAAACACAGCATTCCTTCTCTGGCTTATTAAAGAGCTCCAACTTGGCCATGAAAAATCAACCACCACTTGTTATTCTTTGGCTTCTTTTATGTTCTTGCATTCACCATTTAATTACTGTTTTWACTGCAACTTCAGCCTCAATGCAGACATTGACTTGATATTTAAACAATCCTCCTCTGTTGTATCGGTGTTCAAGTAAAAAGTTCATTTGCCGTGGGTATTATGTGGTCATGATGCAGAGCTGCCTTATTTCACAGGAGATATTTTAACTAACATATGCAGAAATTGCATTTTTCTATCAATTCAGAAGCTAAAAGTTGACTTGGCTGTCAGCAAGTCATCCTGGAAGTCAGCTGGAAAACTCCAGCCATTCTCCAATGTCAGCCTTTTCAGACCTAAGACTCAGAAATATTAAAAGGAAATGTAGTTTTCATTCATTTATAAATTACTACAACAACTAAAAGAATGCCAAAATCCCTTTCATTTAATGTACTTTCAAATAAAAACTATTTTAAGCGGTTTGTTTAAATAAATTTGCATCTTTTTCTCTAGAGGGTTAATTATTATGCCTTCTGTTATTTTGCTGATGAGCTGGAAGCTGTGTTCAGGGAAGGTAACTTGCACCAAGCCAGACACAGCAGAACAGTCACTCATTTCCCAGTACCACACCAGGATTCTTTTTCCAGTGACTGTTTCTGACAGAGGAATAAATATTGAGAAACACAACCTTTTAACTCAGATACAAACTTAAAAATCTGAATGTGAAATATGAAGTACAGAGTCATGAAGCACTCGGTGCTGCACTGTAATGAAGAAGAGAATTCAGATTTAGTGAGGCAGAAAAAAAAAATGAGAGTAACAAAATACTTCAGAGTCTTATTTTGGGTTCTAACACTGATCTAGGACTAGTTCTAGATCCTATTTAGTGCCATTTCAAACTGAACCTGAGAGCTCTTGGAGCAGGGAGTAGGAGCTCAGTCTAACCCCTCCTGGTTATAATCCTATCCCTGCTGGCACATCCAGATGTGTGAAACACAGGAATGTGCTGGAAGGCAGCTGTGGCCTGGGGGAAAGCACAAACTGAGAGAGAAAAGCAGGAACAAAGTTCCAAAGCTTACAGAACTACAAAACCTGCGGGGATGGGTGAGAATTCCCACGTCTGAACTTTGTGCTTAAATTCAGCCCTTGTCTTCCTTTTGGGTCCCTCACTCACGAGGTCAGGCATTGACTATTTTGTATCATGTTCTCCAAAATCAGCAAATCAGCATAGAAATCTAGATGTGCACAGCAGCAATGTTAAATATTGTTACATTTAATATTTTAAACCAGCACAGGGTAGCTTTTTGTGAACGTAACACAAAACACCCAACTGCATCGCATACAGCAGAAACAGTTTAATTTCTTTTCCCGATTTTTCACTGGCAAATCAGATGTTTGGTTATACACAGATTAAAAAAGAATCTTTACTGAGAATGGTTAAACAGCTTAAATCAGAGATAGAGCCCTCAAGGGTGCCTATAATACAAAATATCTATTGCAATGCAAATGTAAAAAAAAAAAAAGCATCAATAAATGCTAAGCACTTACACCAAACATTTGTCTAAGATCTGGATCCCGGAATCTGAATGGTATATTTGAGACGTGGAGCCGTTTGGGCTGTGATTTGTTTTCTGTGTTTTCAGAAGATTGTGTCTGTTGCTGGCCGTCGGTCTGTGCTGCATCATCTGTCTGCTAAAGGGAGAGAGCAAAGGAAAGCACACTGTGAGTATTTCTGGCATTTTTAATATAGGGGGTGGGCTTAAATTCTCAAAAAACAAACAAACAAACAAAAAAAAMCAAACAGGAAAAAACCCARAACGGACCAACCAAAAAACAAACAACAAAAAAATCCCACTAAAAACAAAAAACGCAGTTACATCTGCTGCAAGGTATTGAGGAATATCAGAYGCTTAAATACATGAAAATCAAATCCATCTCTGTATCTCTTCTCACCAGAATATGTTTTCAGTGATAATATATACTGGGAACAAACTGAAGCACAAGTAGATTATTATTTGTGGATTGTCTTAGCTACTTTTAAATAATGAATAAATRTATTTCCCTATATTATAAAACTGTAGAAACCCCCTCAAGCTGTCCTGTGTTTACCAAACAGAACCTGCAGTCCAAAGGCTGCCTCCTCACAGAAAAAGGCAGCCAATTTCCAATCAGATTAGCACTTTCATGGAGAGTCCAGTGGGACTGGAGAAGGGGAGGCAGGTAACACATCACAGGCTCGTTGCCATTTCACCAGCAGGGCTGATGGGCACTGGAGGGTCATTCTGGCCAGATGGATGGTGACCATTATGGAAAAGGCCTTGAGTGGTGAGAGGGAACACGAGTTTAATCAGTGCTGAAGGTTGCCTGACAGAGAATTGAGACCCAGAAACAAAGTTTTACAGATTTTCTTTCTGGCCAGAATGAGGTTATGCCATGGTACTTACAGGAACGCTGTTCCCTGGATTTAAAATTATACTTTATAATTGTAACACACTGCCATGTATTAGGATTTAACAAAAAAATTATAAACCCCAGAAAGATTAGGAAAAATCACAATGTCCTTCATSCAAAAAGTAAAACTAACCAATGCTGGTCTACAAGTATTTGATAGAAATTACTCATCTCTGTTCTTTAATTAGATCCTACAGTGCCTAATTAATTACTGCTTGTACAGCACACATTCATTAGACAAGATTTTGCATGGGTATGTTAAAAGAGCACAGTCACACTTGTTTGCACTGGCAGAGGGATCTGGAAGAATAGAAAAGAGTTGAATGAAAAACTACAAGGATGATTTGACAGCCATTACTCTCTTTTCTCTGTCCTTCCTCTTCCTTCTGACCCCATTGTTTTTCCAAGTATTCATTTTTCTTTTGGRTTCTAATGTTACAGTTTAGTTTGTCTTTCTGAGCTTTGTATTAAAAAAAAAAAGAAAAAGAAGAAGAAAATGCCCTTTTGCTGCTAGCATGRAATTTCTTTTAAGAGCCAACAGTTTAAGCAACATAAAAATGGTTAAACAAAATCAACCTTACCACACAGTTTTAGTACCAACAAGCCTGTTGAAGAGGGAGCAGAAGAACTCAAACAGAACACATMATTTACATCAGCAATAACTACATAGAAATTGAATTCCAGCAAGTTAAATCCAACAATATCTTCCCCAGGGAATACAAATGCTCTCAAAYTAAAAGTACTAACATCTACATTTCCTATTATCTGTGCTAAGAACACTTWATTGATAAAGGTCCTTATTTCTGCAGCAGCATCAGCCCATCAGCAGCATGTTTGATATTTCATGGGATGAGACTCACACAAATACAAACTTTTGTGCGCACTGAAGGAAGATTTACAAGTGATCCAAACATAACACTGGGATCAGATCAAGTGAAAACCTAAAACTGAGTCAGTGCCACCACATCTCTTCATCTGCAACTCCCTGAACTCACAGGCAGGGGCCCACAAACTAAATAATTYATCTTTATAAATATTGAGTGATTTAAACAGAAAATATGGTATACAGTTATCAAGAGACAAAAATGTTCCATGATAATCTATTATTACCTATAATCAACTCAAAAATTCAAAATTTAGATTATATGGTAACTGTTTCATCCAGAGACACCACTGAGATCATTTTCTACCTTGAGGCAAGAAGGAGAGAAATATGAAAGAAATTTGKTATTTGAGAGCAGTTGGGGAATGACAGACTGAAAACTCCTGAAATACAACACTCCCCAAGAATTTGAGGTCAATTAGATTAATCAGAAGAGAATTTAAGAATTCTGAAGGTGCTGTTGAGCTTCAGGAACAGAGGGTGCCCCAGGAAGAAATTACATAATCAACGTCCTATATAAATGCAAATTGGAAAGAGCAACCACTGTTCATTGAATTAATAGAAATGAGGAGTAGGAGGGCTGAACTATGCACCAGGAACATCCCAAAACACTGGGAGCAACCTCCCCACCAAGCAGCTGGACAGATTATTGTCAACAAAACAGTGAGCTTTTGGAAGAGGGTATTAAAATGCAGTTTTAGCATCGAAATATTGTTATTTTCTGGGCCTTTTGTTGGTTTTAACAATTTTTAAAAGTTTTTTTTTTGTTTGTTTGTTTGTTTGTTTGTTTTTATTCTGAGAAGCCTCAAATTTACGCTCTCAGCACAGAATGCTCAGAGTTTGGGCAGTGAGGAGTGAAAACCAGAAAGTTCAGCAAGTCACTGTCACAAACAAATAAATCCCTGTGCATGACCCCCCAGACCCTTGGGGCACAATTAACAGGGCTAAGGAATTTCAAACATATTAAATAAAACTTGGCACTGCAAAAGCCTCGTTACAAAGCACATTATCATCCCAAAATCTACAGGAGTGCTGGGGAAATCAGGACAAAGAAAACCATGAATTGGAATTGGAATGGGAGGATTGTGCAAAAATTCCCAAATAACACCAAACAGGTAAAACACACATGGGGCAGAGGACAGGCTGGGTTTGGAAAAATCCCAAGCAGGGAACTTTCAGAGCTCTGTGGAATTCCAGAACCAGATTGTAATGTACCTTACACATACATAATACATTTCAGGAGAATATTTTCACTGCTGGAGGTCCTGAAGAGTGGTGTTTGATATTCCTTTAAACATTAATTGAAGTTAGGATGGGGCATTCTCCTTCCTCCATCCCTGCAGTCTCCCATGCAGTCAGGCTGCTTTCTGGTCCCTATTCCACCACATATTTGCAATTATAAAATACGAAAGAAACTTAATATATGATAGTGTTAAAACTTCTAATGAAAGTTATGAAATTATAAATACAGAATGCAGAAAAAGAAGACCAAATCCTCGCTTGCAGCAAAACAAATTGAGGTGAACTCCCTTTACTTCAGAGAGCTACTGAAGGCTTAAGTGTTAAAATAAATTACAATTGAAACCATTCTTACACGTAATTTAACCCGTATCAAAGAAGGCCTTTCAGAAAAAACAAAAATTTTTCCATAAAATTTCAGAATAAATATATGACATCCTTTTAAACCAAATCCATCACCAGGAGAGTTMRTATCTATTGTTTTCTRAAGAAATTMTTTATCTTTAYCAAAATACTTTWGTTTTTGTTSCCTTAACTCAGTTCTAAAACCAGAAAACTTCTATTATTTAAAACACTACACTCAAGTTCTTAAAGATTTCACACTGAAATAAAATTATTGAAATAATTTTTCTGGTTTCACTGCCTTTTTCCTGAGAATTTAAGAAACAAAAAATATAAAAGTGAAGAAACCTACTAAACCAAATGCTTGTTTAGATAAAATAAATTTGACAGTTTTCTATTTGGAAAAAAAACCCAAAAAAACCCTCTGTCTCTCACACACACATCCCCCTCTTCTTTTAAGGCCTTTTAAATCCAAATTTGCACCAAATTTCATGCAAAAATACATTGTAAAACCTCCATCCTGCCATTTCCCAGCTGAGTCCAGTCTCATCTCCCATCTCGAGCACTTGTGGTGAAGGCACCACACGACATAAACCAACGAGCAGTGAACCTGAAACCAGAGAGGGCTTTGTGCACACAATTTGGGTAGAAAAAGCCCATTCCCTGCTCCTTGGTGGCTGATATGAATTTCCTGTCTCCTGTCCATCCATCACAGCAGACAGGCAGCCCTGCAGTGATTCCTACACCCGAATTGGATGTGTTGCATTTCCCCTCCATCCTTTTTCACTGACTGACACCTTTCATTTCCTACAAAACAATGGTGACGTGGACAAAACCCTTCACCCTCAAATCCTTTCCACACACAATGAAATGCTGTCCCACAAGAGCTGTCTGCACCCCTACAGAGAGAACATTGTCCTCAATCTCAGCTTTCAGAGAATAAATGGATCATAAACAGTAGAAACACCTAAAATGAAACCAAACCTTTTATCTCTTCCTGGGCAAAGGGAAAATAAGTTGTATTGGAACATGCAAGAGCTTTACCAAGTCCTGATCATTCTGCTATAATCTGTAAACAAATACAAATCAGCTGCGTATCTTTAAACCCACACCAAGTCTAGAGGAAGAACAGCCTAATTCGAGCAGAAATAACCTGTAATATATTTACAGGGAGAAAAGAAAGAGGGAAAAAAAGCAACTGATTAATTTTTAAAGTATGATCGGTTGTAAATTAGGTGTTGAGCATCTCATGTATCCACACCAGCACAGGGAAAAGCTCTTCAGAATTTTAAATTTAGCAAGAAAAAGAAAGCGTTCATTAATATTTTTTAATAAATGCTCAAAACAGCACCTGTTGTTTTTTTGTTTGTTTGTTGGTTTGTTTTTTTTTTTCTACTGCACCAATCAAGTTATTTCTCAGAGAGAAAGAGCTTGTGAATGTCTTCTAGGCATTATTTGATTAAGCTGACAATATTATGTGAGCAATGGTTGGGTACCCACTGTGCTGTACTTCTGACCAAATTGATTTGTGTAATGAACACTTGCTCTGTCTCTTCTCCAGCCTGGGTAGGGCTCTTGATTTAACTGGTGGTGCTGGAAGCCAAGTGAATTTACAGCCCCCACAGTCATTCTCTCTCAATCTGGAGAGAATAGCAGCRGCAGTACATGAGCAAGCATAATTCAATACATTGTGCTATAAGCACAGAAAATAATATCAGAGCTCTGCAATATACCTGTTTGATTTGATTTGTAAACCCGATAAAAAAAGCAATCGAGA